TTATGCTCACTTTAATCCTTAGACCTGCCACTCACACTCATGCAAAACCTAAACCCCAAACATATCTGCAAACCTTAGCACAAAATCCTAATACCAAAACTTAATACTAACCCCAATCTCAACACCAACATTGGCCCAAGTCACAAACAAATCCGAAGGACAACCTCAAACCTAACACCTGAAGCCCAACCTAAAATAGACTCTAACCCTAATGCTCAAACCTAACATCAACCCTAACCAAAAACAACAATGGTAACCTAAACTTGAATCCCGAACACTATGATGATGCTCTTAAAGCCTAACACTAACCCTAACCTTAATCATCATTCTAACTCTTGAAGTAACTCTAAACGCAACACTCACTCTTATCCTATTACCAAAACTCACCTGAATCCTCAAAATAACCCTGCCACTTATATCCTCAGCATCTGTCCCTAAAAATCCTAACATTACATTTGCTCACAGTCCAATAAAATTTTCTTCACCATGTGTTTAGTGACGAAAATAATATATGACATGGCCACTAACCAAAACACCAGCACTAAAATTAGAACGGAACAAATTCTAATACATCTAGCCCTAAGACTCACACATGACACAGGACTCTAACCCTGAACTTAACATAAAAGATGTCAACCTAACCAGGAGCTAGTTTCCTAAACCAACCTGATGTGATAACCATTCAATCCTACTTCAAGGACATGCCCTCGTGATCACTCTACACCTAACCAGAGCCCCAGACATCACACTGGCCCTCAGCAGAAACTTTCACCCTATGCTTCACCCAAAATGAATTCTGCGGCCTGAGCCCCTCAACTTTAATACGAAGAAGATTCTGGTTCTTCATGAGTTTTCTCTGCCCAAGAGAAACTGGGGTCTACACAAGGATAATAGTGCAGGATGTGTTTGTTTTGATGTTGCTGCTTTTGCAACTAGCAGATTGGGAAGGGTCATCTAGCAGTTGGAGGGGACATGGGAGAAGCAGGTAGGAGAGGGGAACCCCAGGAAGTGGCCTCCCTTCCTTGAAATGGCGCCTAATAGAATCTAGAACCCTCGAGGCTGGTTGGCTACAGTTACTGGTAGAGGGACTCAACAGTCAGCAGGAAGTTTTCTTGCTGTTTCCAAAAGTCCTAGGCTCGGGCTGCAAGAGTTGGTGGAAAGAGGGTCTTATTTGAAAGCTGAAAGGCTCACGTAGTCATTAGCCCCAGAGCCTGGAGCACACCGTGCCCAGAACCCCCATGGTGACACAGGACAGCCCACAACAGGTTAGAGTCAGCCTGGAGAGCCCAGAGCCCTGCCTGCCTGGGTGGTGTGTGGGGGAGTGTGCGTGAGGGGGTGTGTGAGAAACCAGTGGATGCCCTTAGCAGCTGATCTGCTTGGGTGCTGAGCTCTTGAGAGCTGGCTAGTGTTACCAAGGTTAAACTCTCCCTTCTCGCTCTCACCTCATGGCCCAAGAAGTCCAGCCCAAAGCTGGAGGATGCTGGCAAGGTGGGAAGCCTGGAGCCAGACATGCTGAAGAAGCTGGTGGACAACCTGGTGCCCGCCCATCAGCGCGGGGACCCCTTCTTCGTGCCTGCCTTCCTGGCCATCTACAGGACGCTCGCCCCCCCGCGGCAGGTGCTGGATCTGCTGTTGCTCAGGTGTGCCCCACCTCCAAGTCAGGGGGCCCCGGGACCCTTTGAGGGCTCTTGGAGATGTCCTGAACTGTTCTCACCCCTGGTATTCCTTGAGGAAAATGGTTTGTTCAGAGGATTCCTGCTCACATGATGTATTCAGGACCAAATAGGCTGAGGCTCCCAGTACCTGGCCTTGATCTGGCTCTGGGTAGGGGGTGGGGCCCCGGGGCTGTAGGGTTTCCCCAGTCTGCCTCTTGAAGGAACTGTCTAGCTGGATCCTCTTTTTCCTCAGTTTCTACCTATGGAAATCCAGAGGGGGGAACCATAGGGGAAACCTGGCCCTCTGGTTGCTTCTTGAGATGTGGCGCACTCACTACACACAGGTGTATACAGCACCTACCTTTCCTGAGGCTTCTCTGTCCCTCAGGGAGCAGCGCAGAGGGACCTCTCAGGCTTCCCTGCCTCATTTGCCATCCCACAGTCACATGGTCCTCTAGACCTCCTGGGACGCCAGGACAGTGAGTGCTCAAAGGTCACACCCTTCTGCTCTTCTAGGTACCACTCCTTCCTCCCGGACTCTGAGGAGGACCAGCAGAACAAGAGGTGAGAGGGCTTGGGCTAAGAGGGAGGAAGGAGTTACCATAGTGTCTCTTTCCTTGAAATATTTGAGTATAACTTCGTATGCTATAGCATCAAACATATCAAGACATTGTGAAACCATTCACGATGATGGAAGTATTACAGGGTATTTAGAGCCAGCTAACGGAAAATGAACAATGGTTTCTATATTATCTCTTTGCCTATAAAAATTTTGTTTATACTATCACATATAATAAAATCCAATAAGATACCACGTGATAAAAGCAATGAAGACAGAAGAACAACAATTTGATGGGACTTCAAAACAAGATGATATTAAATCAGCACTAGTTATTATGGTGTCTTGTTTTCTTCAAAATAGCTGTTCATATCATCACATACAGTAATATCAAACAGCCCAGAATAGAACCATTCCAATTAATGAGTGAAAACTTTATAAGCCTTCAAAACCACATAATGAGGAATCATGATTACCACATACTTTTATGTATTTGTATCGTTTCTTACACTAGGGAAACTATTCGATATTCATACATGTGAGCTTGATTTATTTCACTACTATTAAGTCAGGTTATCTTGTGGCGAAACACTATGTTGCTTAAATTGTTCTGTTCTGACCAGTATCTGTTCTGACCTCTTTTATCTCAATCTCCCCACCTTTTTAAAATTTGTTTTATTATTATTATTATTATTATTTGTCTTTTTCCTTTTTATCGGTATCGGGAATCAAACTCACAACTGCCTGCTTGCAAGACAGGCTCTTATGCCGCTGAGCTAAATCTCCAGCCCCTATTATTATTTTTTTAATTAAGGAAAAAAATTTTTAAAAAATAGTAGGATATATTATAGTAACTTTTTTGATTTCCTATTAACTCGATTTGAAGCTCCATATTGCTCTCATCGTCTGGTTTTGACTAATTTTACTCTATTCTTTTCTGTTTGATACTACCAATTTTGAGGGTATAGGCAATTACTTTGAAGGCAATAAGATTCACTATGATTCCCATTCTGGTTTGACTGTTATCTTCTTTTGAAGTTCAGTAATATCTCCAATGTTTAGATTTTATTGGTTTTGTTCTATACTGTTTTGTTCAATTTTATTATACCTGATGATATAGGCAATTCTTTTTAAGGTAGCAAGGGGCATTATGGTAACCATTGTTGATTACCTTGTATTCTGTTTTTACATCACATACTATGTCCATCCTTTGTTTTGATTGACTCTGCTTTGTTTTGTCACATTTGGTTTTATTCTCTTCCAAAAAAAAGTAATAAGAACCATTATCACATAAACATTATAGGCCATTTTTGTTTAAGACACACAGAATAAATGTATATACATGTTTTGTGTATATGTATGTGTGCTGGAGATTTCACCAAGGGCTGCATAAGTGCTTGGCAAGTGCTCTATTACTGAGTAAATCTAGCCTACTTCTTACATAGCGCAACTGAATATTTTATTAAGATTTTCTTAGGCCTCAATTCTCTGCGGTGATTTCATTAGTTCCTCTTTTAGCTCTCATGAATGAAATCAGCAATCTTACTTTACAGGAAAGAATGTAAATGCCTTATTACAGTCCAGACTGGTTTTCTTTTTCTTTGGTATCAGGAATTGAACTCAGGATCTCACGATTGCCAGGCAGGCGCTGTGTCGCTGAAGTATTATCCACCCCCCTCCACCACCGGTCTCAGACCATTATTTTCTTAAGTCAGGGTTCAACATATTTTGATGTTACTCTTCCTCTATCATGTACAGTAATTATAAAAGATTCTTATTGTTTGCAATTTTTTGACAGTTTTTGGTGGAGGCTGTCAATTTCTGACCCTAAGTTGAAACTTTCAGTAACTGACAAGTATATTAATTCATAAAGGTTTTTAAAATAAACTCGTTTTCCCCAATTATAAGATATAAAGTTTCTCCACTTGTTCATTTATTATTGACTTATTTATAGTGATATGGACTGAACCCAGGGATTTTCCACTTGACTGTTATCTCCAGTCCTCTTCACTGTTACTATTTTTTTAAAATTTTGAGAGTATTGGTAAGTTCTCCAGGCGGGAACTGAATTTCTGATCCTCCTGCTTCAGTCTCCCAGAATACTGGGATTACACAGGTGTGAGCCATCCGTCAGGCAAGCATTTAACTGAACGCTGAGCAACAACCCCAGCTTTTCCTCTACCAATTTTTTTTTTTTTTTAAAGTGTTGAGACAGTTTTACCAAATTGCCCAGACTGGGCTCCAATTTGGTATCCTCCTGCCTCCGCCCCCCTAACTAGCTGGGTTACCCGCTTTGAGGTTCAGATTTTCATCTTTGTTTCTCTTGTGGACTGAGGGAGTCTGGTACCTGTTACTGAGTCTGAGGACGATTCAGATGAAAGAGCTTTGGGATTAGGTGTGATAATGTGTAAGCGTAAATGTTGAGACTACGTATAGAGTTGTATTTCGGTGAAACTTACATTTGCGGAGTACTGTTTGAGAAGGGTAAGAGTGTACGAGTGCGTTGAGCAGGTTTGAGAGCCACGTGAAAGGTAGGAAGGGATCCAGCCTCCCGCTAGGGGAGGCAGCCTCTGTTTCCACACGAACCGGAATAACCTGTTGCGAGACCTCAAACTCCTGCGGTTACAGGTCGGCGTCCCAGCCGCGCGCACAGGAATCCGCCGGCGGTAGTCGCGCGCCCAGCCCTTGACAGGAGGGCAATCACGTGGCAGCCGGAAAGCGCAGCTTTGCGACCTCGATGACAGGCAAAATGTGCGACAGCCCTGGCGCTGGCCAACCAGGGGCGGAGGCAGCAGCTAGGGAGGAAGCGGAGGAGGCGGAGGCGGCCGCGGGGTTCGCCCGTCTGCTCGTTCACCGGCTTTCCCCGCCCCTGCCGCTCTCGCTGCCGCTGAAAGGAGCTGGGGGCGCGCTGTCGCAACCTGCCCTCGGCTTGGCTGGCGGCAGTTGAGACCCGACCTGCCTGTACATCAGCCTTCCTGTCCGGGCGGCGCGGCGTGGGCTCGCGGGCGCCTGAAGGTTACCGAGTGCATGACTGCCTAGCGCCTCTCGCGCTGTCCCGCCCGCCGGGTCGTCCGCCCGCCAGTCCGCCGGCTTCCCCGCAAGCTCCTCGGCACCCGGCGGCGGCGGCGGCCGCCACGGCGACAACGGCCGCAGGAGGCGCCGTCTCCCGCCCAGGTGCACGTTTAGCTCCCGGCGCCTCGGAACTCGGCCGCCGCCATGGCGTCCAACATGGACCGCGAGATCATCCTGGCGGATTTTCAGGTGAATTTTCTGGCCTTGTACCCCTCCCACCTCTAACCTCGTGAGTTCCTATGTCAGAAGGGTGGCCTCTTCCAAGCGTTTGTTTGAATACTACGATGATGTGTAGTTTAGGCATTGATACATGTCCGTGTGTGTGATTTATGAGCATGTAATTCATGTGTTACGTTGGTTATATAGATGTGTTACAAGTTGAATGAGAATTTTTAATAGAGAGCGTTAAGATTTTTGGATTACTTGTGTGAATGTGTTTTCTCTATTATATGGGGAATGTGTACAATTTGGGAATAGTAAGTGTGGGGCCATTTAAGTATGGTGTGTTTTGAATTGTTCTCTGAGGAGACCTGGTGTATGGAGTATGTATGTGTTGTTATGGATGTGGTATGTATATTGTGTTAAGAGGAAAGTAAAAAGAATGATGAGGAAGAGATGGTGGGTACCCCGGGCATGGTGGTTCTTTTCAAGGAAGAGTAAGCATTTGACGCTTTGCCTTACTGGAATCTTTGGAGGGTAAGAAGATCAGAAAGAGGCAGATACTGTATATTCCAGTGGAGCTCTATAGTGAACTCACATACTATCCAATTCATATTTGCAGATTTCCCTACCCTGCAGACTTGAATGGGTTGACTGGTGGCCTTCCTCTAGGAATATTTTAAAGGATAAGTAAAAGTTATTCCCTTATGAACTCAGTTGTTACAATGGCATGTAAGTATTTTAGGGAGGCCCTTTGAAATTAGAGCTGTATGTACCAGGAAGAGTTGGAGTTAGAAGTGATATCCTACTAACATTACCTTTGCCTTTTGATGTAGAACATATTTTAGTGAGGTATTTTTAAGCATTTTAGCATTAATTTAGAGTCCACTGTCAAGTATAGGGAGACTTCCCTTTCTTGAATCTTGTCATTATTGCACATGGTCTAACAGTACTGTAGGTAGTATATTTGTTTACTGAGTTTTTCTTCTTGTTTTTACAACTTGATGGTCACTTGCAGAATTTGCTCTTTTTGTTAACTCTGTGATATCTGATGGATCTGATACACTTGGAATGTCTGTTTATCTATATTTTAGTTTGTTGAACATAGGAGGGTTCTTAAAAGTTGACTCCCAAGTTGTACATTTAGGAATGACTTAAGATCTTTGCCTGTCTAAATCTTTAAGCATCTTTTTTATTTTTATAAAATGTATGTTAAAGTATAATTTCTTAAGTCAGGCATGGTGGCACACACCTGTAATTCCAGCACTCTGGAGGTTGAGGCTGGAGGATATCCTTCGGTTCATGGCCATCCTGGGTTCCATCGTGAGTTCACTGTGTTGGGAGACCTGGTTCCCTGCCCCCAATATATACGGTCAGTACCAATTTTATTACACTAGATTTAAGTTGTTACTGAAACTTAATGTTTAAGAGTCTGTTTTATGAAGTAGTGGGTCTTAGGCATGGTATTTTCATACATTGTATTAGGCCCTACCCCCATTCTCCAGTGCAATCTTTTATCTAATGTAGAATACATCTTGTAAAAAAAAGACTTTGTATTTCCTTTTTTTTTTTTTTTTTTCTGTCCTTTTGAGACAGGGTCTTGCTATGTGGTTCAGGCTGGCCTTGGGTTCACTTTGTATCCTAGGCTGGTCTCGAACATGCAAGGATATCCTTGCCTCAGCCTCTTGCGTTCTGGGATTATAGGAATGCACTCCCACTCCTGGCTAAGACTTTGTATTTCTAGGTGTAGTTTTATCCTGTTATTAAAATTATATTCTGATGGGCAAGACTTTTGGACAACAGCTGTAAGTAGAGTTAACCTCATTAGTTGATTTAGTTAAAATTAATGTTGTAACTTTGTTTTAATTTCACCAAACTTTTTTCCTTAATAACTTGTAGCTGCTTTCTAACTTATTATTTGTGACAGTCATTAAAACAGAATATTTAGTATTCTTCATTCAGAGGTAGGGTTAATGTTTTCCTGATAAGTACCAGGAATTTTTATTTGGAAACCAAAGTAATTATTTGAATCATTTCAATATACATTTTAATTAAGTTTACTGAAGATTGAACCCAGATTGAACCCAGGATTGAGCACTACATCGCCAGTCCTTTTAATTTTTTTATTAGTTTTTACTTTTCTGTTTTACTTTTTAATACTTTTTAAAATTGTTACTGTGATCAAACTCATGACCTTGTGCTTACCAAGCAAGTGCTTGAACTGCTGAGCTAAATCCCTGACTTTTATTTTTCTTTATTAAGTTTATCATTGTTTGTTTGTTTATTTATTTACTTAATTTTTGGTCTTTTTTGTTTGACAACGGTCTTGCTGTGCAGTTCAGGCTGGCTTTCAGCTCACCCTAACCCAAAGTCACCTTGAACTCACAGTAATCCTCTTGCTTCAGTCTCCAAAATTCTGGTATTATAGGTGTGTGCTACCATACCTGGCAATTTTTTATTTTGAGAGAGTCTTGCTAAACTGCTAAATTGACTGGGCTGTGCTAGAACTTGTGCTTTTTCTATCTTATTATCTCAGAGTGTTGGGAACATAGGTGTGTGCCAGTATGCTTGACTACATGTATAAATTCTAATAAAATTTTTCTTTTACTTGAATGACATTAGGGTGGTCTTTTAGGCCAGTGACAATGTTGTCCACAATTGCTTATAAATGGAAAATAAAAACTAATGGCATTTGCTCTAAATAGTTGCTTACTAATTGGTGAGAGTTGATTTTATATTGTTAACTAGGTAAGAAAGTATTGATGAATAAAAGTTATTTAGAAAACTGTACATATTTTAAGCACATTAACTTTGTTGTTTAGGAACCTGTAATTGTCTTTTTTCGTTTTTATTGGTACCAGGGATTGAACTCATGACTGCCTGCTTGCAAGGCAGGCACTTACGCCGCTGAGCTAAATCCCCAGCTCCAAACCTGTAATTGTCTTACAAATGAAGGTACCAGATCAGTTTATTTTCATAGTCTTAGTTTAAAATCGATTATTATTTTTTCATATTCTCTGATTTTTAGGATTCACTAAGCATTTATCTAGTTTAAGGGAAATGAGAAATTTATTTTAAAGATAATACCACAAGCTTTGTCATGAACATTCTTGGATGGCACTGGTTTCTTCTACAACTGGACAAATAATTTCCTCACACTGATGTGGATATAACATTATATTTGTTATTTATTTATATATTTGTTTACTAAAATTATATTTTCTTATATGATTGTGGGAATCAGTGACAGTTTTGAGAACTCAGTGTGTCTTTGTAAAAGGACATAATTTTAGACTTTGAGATTTAAAGGTAAATGTCAGATTTTGTTCATTGCTACATAATAGACCCTAGTAATATAATGTTTAAGTATGGAAAAGCTTTTAAGAAAGGATTTTGAATTCTTTTGAGTTTATATCTATTTTACCTCAACAAATACGACTTCCGTTGAAATCAGTGGAAAAGTCATGAGTGGATTGAAGATTGTAGCTCATACTTAATGAGATAGAATTGGGATTGTAGGTAGATGAACTTGCTTTGTAGGGACTACAAAACTATTCTGTTCCAAATTGTCCTCATTTAAAAAACTTATTTATGGTAGAATACACAGACTTAAACATTTGCCATTTAAAGGTACAGTTCAGTGGCATTGATTACCTTCATACTACTGTGCAACCATCACTGCATTCTATCTTATGAAACTGTAGCTGTATTTGTTAAACAATGACTCCTAATCCTCCTTTTCTGTGACCCATGGCAACCACCAGTTTTTGTCTTTATGATTTTGATTGTTCTAGGTGTCTCGTATAAGTAGAATCATGCAGTATTTCTGCTTTTGTGATGACTTACTTCACTTAGTGTAAGGTCACCATTCATGTTGTAATGTGTCAGAATTTTATTTTATTTTTTTTTATAGCCAAATACTGTCCTTTTGTTTGTATATATCAGATTTTGTGTATTGATTCATCTTTGATTAACATCTAGGCTGTTTACATCTTTTGGTTATTGTGAATGATGCTGTTGTAAACATTGTTGTACCAATATGTTTGAGTCCTTGCTTTGCATTTCTTTGGGAGTATAGCCTTTTTTTTTTTTTTTTTTTGTCTTTTTCATTTTTATCGGTACCAGGGATTGAACTCACGACTGCCTGCTTACAAGGCAGGCGCTTATGCCGCCGAGCTAAATCCCCAGCCCGCTTTGGGAGTATAGCCAGAAGTAAAATTGCTGGATCACACAGTGATCTTACTTGTAGATTTTTGAGGAACTGTCCTACATTTTTCTCTTTCTTTTTTTTTTTTTTTGGTACTGGGAATTGAACTCAGGACCTTGTGCTTGCTAGGTGGGTATTGTATGGTTGAGACATATCCCCAGCCCCACTTTTCTATAGTGGCTGCACCACCAAAATTTTGAGTAGAGACAGTGTCAATGTGACAAGAGATGCATTCCAAATTTTGTTCTTTTGGTAATTGTAGAATTCTTTTTTTTTTTTTTTTTTTTTTTTTTTTTTGGTACCAGAGATTGAAATCATCTCACACTTAACAGGCAAGAGCTTGAACCCCTGAGCTAAATCCCTGGCCCAGTAATTGTAGAATTTTTTAACAGCCTCTTTCCTCTTCACAAAAAATAGTTGATCAAACATACTTTCAAGATCTATTTGGTTTGCTTACAGATATAAAAATAGGTATCCAAAACAACTGCAGTTTCTGTCAAATAATCTTGGTAATATTAATTACCTCATACTTTGTTTGGGTGGACCAAAAAAAAAAAAAAAAAAAAAAACTAAAACAAAATAATCCCCTCCAAAAAGAGTTTCCATCCACACTCCTTTAACCTTTAAAAAGAATTTCATTATCAGTATGTGTTTGCTGCATTTAATTTTACATTCAACTTAATGGGTAGGTGCATGTACTTAACATATATTAATTCTTTTTATTCCCTTTCTTTCCCCTTGCTGTCACTTTCTCCATCTGAATCCCCTTTTCCATTTACAAAAGATGTATCTCCCTGTTTCTGGTTGCCTATTAATAAACTAT